TTGACAGAAGCCACAAGGTCTCTTAGCAGGCTTTTGCAGATTGCGCCTATAAATTTACAAAATGTTTTTTTTTTTCATTTAAACAATGTATGGAGGCTATAAGTGGACGCCAACGCTTAGGCTAAGGTCGCTACCTCGCGGTGCGTTAACGCATTGACAAGATTTCACTTTTATTCGAAACGCGGTGAAAAAGATAGACGCGCAGCAACGATGCATTGCAGGAACTAATCACGGAGGCGACGTTCCTGGTGCAGTACTTTCCTATATCTCGTAGAGGGCGACGATACCCCACCGACCAAGAGCACTGTAAGAGGATATAGAAGGCCTTTGTAAGGACACAATATTGTGGGAACGGGGCGTAGTGGATAGCGTGCGTGGCACATGTCGCTGACAGGGCTGTCGTTGGTTAAACTCCATCTGACGGAATTTTTCGTATTTGCCATCTGATTGTGTAAATTCTTCGACATCATTTCTGTGATGGGAATACGTCACTGAAGGCTTGGAATAAAACACTTTCGTGTTAAAGCTTCTGACTAGCTACCCTATACTGCCAAAAAGATGAGACATGACTGTATTGAGAGCTATCAGTAAACTGCTCAATGCAGGCTTAAGGAATGCTCAAAAACAGGTTAAAATAAAGAAGCCAGGTCTAAATTGAAATAATGAACAGAAATAAACAAAAAGTAATTGCGGAAATATTTAACGGCGAATTTCTCTGATTTATTCGAAGTGGCCGCCGAAATTCTGTAGGGAGCCCCGCCGTGGTGGTCTAGTGGCTAAGGTACTCGGCTGCTGACCCGCAGGTCGCGGGATCGAATCCCGGCTGCGGCGGCTGCATTTCCGATGGAGGCGGAAATGTTGAAGGCCTGTGTGCTCAGATTTGGGTGGACGTTAAAGAACCCCAGGTGGTCGAAATTCCCGGAGCCCTCCACTACGACGTCTCATAATCATATGGTGGTTTTGAGACGTTAAACCCCACAAATCAATCAAATTCTGTAGGGAGCACTCATGTTTGCGCCAGCGGAGCACGTGGATGCTCCGTGTGAGGTCGCTCCAGAAGGTTTTTGTACATACGCCGTGTAGACCAGCTCCAGAAACTACTTATTTCTTGAATCATCATCATCAGCCTGCCTATGCCCACTGCAGGGCAAAGGCCTCTCCCATGATTCACCAATCAACCCGGTCTCGTGCTAGCTTGTGATATCCGTCTTGTGCTTTCCTTTCTTGAATACACGGGCACAACTTCTTAGGCATGGTCTTCGGGAGAGCCCGCAACGGGGCAGGGAGTGGCATAATGATGCACTCTTCAACATATTTGGGTTGCGCGAAAAAACACGGACTCTCCTTCGTCCGTCTTTAGCCACTAGTGCCACTAGACCACTGCGGTGGGGCCTTAGCAATATTTGAATGCGCTGACGTTTATTTGAATTCAGCACCATTTTCGCTGAGCCAGGACTGCGCTGCCGAAAATAATGCACGCATGCATCCTTTAAAAATTTGTACGAAGAAACTGCAAATTATCAGAGCAAGACACCTCGTAGTGGAACTCTAGTCCGCTATCACCCGACCACGGACAATTAATTGTTCAGCTTGATTACTAGTAATTGTCAAATAGTTATAAATTCTGTGTTCCAGCTTACGTTGCTCACAATAACCCGCAGGTGGCAGGATCGAATCCCGGCGGCGGCGGCTGCATTTCTGATGGAGGCGGAAATGCTGTAGGTCCGTGTACTCAGATTTGGGTGCACGTCAAAGAAACCCAGGTGGTCGAAACTTCCGGAGCCCTCCAATACGGCGTCTCTCATAATCATAAGCTGTTTTGGGACGTTAGACCACACATTTCAATCAATCAAGTCCTCAGTATGCCGCCTTCTGCGATTCAGCGTATCTGCCCACTGGGAATCAAGACAAAACTTCACCTTGAAGAGACTAAGAAGACTGTAGAGAGCGAAAGAAAACACAGGGAGTTGCTTAAACGAGCATTTGACAAGCGTACTAAGAACAAGATCCCCGATATTACTCTATGTGATCTAGTTTTGATACGGAAAGGCTATGGCGGCCATAGTGCAAAATGGTGTGGACCATTTAATGTGACCAATATGGCTACAAAAGACGGAATACTATAAAGACCACCCGCTACCGAATCGAAGATGGTGTCATGGAAATAGCTGCCATCAGCAATGTGATTCCCTATATTCAAAGGAGTGACAAAACAAAGCCAGGGAGCAACCCGAAGACGAGGAATAACTTCTGTGATGGGGGAGGAGAAAGAAGAAGAATAAAATATATTGTGTCTGTGTGTGTTGAAACATTATAATGGAATCTCCCACAACTTGAAGAAGGTAGAGGAGCGGGCCAATGCAAATTTAATTTTTTTCTGTTTCGAAAAAGCTGTCGCACTTGCGTACTAAGAATGTTTCAAATACAAAACTCGATTGTTCTAAAAGGCACAGAACCCCGTACGTCACGTGTGAAAGAAATATATTCTATCAGATACCTCTTTCATGTGGCAAGCAGTGCATCGGACAAACTCGCTGCTGTGTTAATGACCGGCTCTGTAAACGCCCTTGTTACGTCAAGAATAGTCGCGATGGTTCTTCGGCATAGCACTGTAGCACTTATGGGAACCACTTTTGCATGCCATTGTGAATATTGGGAAAACCAGAAATAAAACGGCGAGGGAAATATTTTCGCGCATGACAGTTGTGGGCTTCTTGACTTTTTCGTTTGTTTTTCGCATGTGTGGAAATAAATGTGGTAGGAAGTACGTGCTCCCCTTCGTTCGTTCTCTCTTGTCCAGTGTCTCATATTTTTCGCGTTCCACGCGCTTCCCGCACAGCCGCAACGCACGTGCCTGCACCCCTACCTCACGCAAGCGGGAGACAAATAAGCCAATCGACGACGCTCTTTGACCCTCCGCAGCGTCGCCAATTGGCTTATTTGTCCCCCGCTTGCATGCGGTAGGGGTCCCGCCACGTGCGTTGCGGCTGTGCGAAAAGCGCGTAGAACGGCCCTACGTGATCAGTTCCTCTTGCCCCGAATGTGCTACAAAACAGACATTTTCCGGCTCTAGATGTTGCTTCAAATCATAGACTGGCTGAACCGCCACTGGGCGCCGTACGTGCAAGGTATTCACTATACGCCATGACGAACAATGACTGGTATATGGCGCCTCGAGATGGTCTATGTATCACTGGAAACAACCACAAGGGCACAGACCTCGTGTTTGCAGGCTAGATGCGATACCACAAAGCAGTAATGATAATGGATCAACTCGTCATACCATGTGTCGTGAATAAACATTTTGTTTTCTTTCACAGGGAAACTTGTTATGAAATCAAAACTCGGGTCACGTGCGGTGCCGTAGTTGTCCGCCGCCGCTGGTGTGCGTAACCACTATCAAAAATTAAGAAGCAAAACCTACCACCCAGAACACAGTGGGGCTCGAACCCGGATCCGCTGCGTGCCAGCCCAGTATTCTACCACCAAGCCACGCCGCTGCTTGGGAATTCATCGCAAACTTGCCTTAGGCAAGCTTGATGTCGGGAAAGGAATTGCGTTAACAGGAGTAATAAAACGTTTTAGAACAGCTAAGGAACAACAAGGCGTCACACAATGTGAATAGCGTAACGAGTGGGTCGTCCAATGCTCCAACGTATTAAAAAAGCTTGTTATTGTTAACCTATTAACTGTGGTGCATAGCCACTTCAAGCATATTTCTTCATTGTCGTCAGCCACAGCATGTACAATTGGCAGAAATTTCATTGGAAGAGTTTAGCCTATACAACGCTTTTCAGAGAATGACGAAAAATAGCATAGTGAATGCTGGTCTATTACGCAGAGATAATAATTGGTATTAATGACGTAGTGAGTGCCCAGCAAGTGTGCTTGCAGCAGTTATCAAGAGATTGTTCAATAAAGGCTCTGAAAGGCTGCTCTTATAGCTTTCGCTGGGACTGTGTGGCGCCTTCCACGCAGGCCGAGCGTCTTTTATAACCGTCCACCACTATGTCACTCATTCACATGCGTGAGTGGTCAATGTCGCGGGTGATTTACGGTAACAATGAATGATCCCTCGGTATCGCCTATTCATCATCATTCATTTCGTGGATGTGCCGCGATTTCTTATAACCTACGCAACCTATTGTGTTTCACTTGGCAACTTTGGCTTTGCCTTGTGTTAGTAAAATATTATATAGCGTTGTAGTAACTGTATTGTTCGACACCTGTGTTCTGCATCGAAGTATACCGTCTCTTCACTTATGATTCAACTTGGGTTGTATTTATGTTACTTTATTTAAATTACTACTCAGCTCATTCTCGCACATTAACTCGCAAGGTTTATTTGGCTGTTCGCTTCTGACGCTTCATGACGCAAACCTTGCATCTGGGCCTATTTGATGTTGAAATTAAACGTTAACGAAGCCGCATGCCCAGTTATATCTGGCCGAGCAGTTGACAATGAGTCACAATCGCCTGACCGTGCATCGCCTTCAGCCTCGCTTAACCGCAGTGTATCAATGAGCCCATTTGCCTGATTCCATTTTCTGTTTCGCTATATTTTTACAGATATGATGTTGCTAGACTAGTTTTTAGTGCTTAAAGACCAACACATGAGAGACGGCAGGACGAGCGCTACTGACAACTGGGTTGCACGCAGGAAGCGTGCCCTTATTTTTTTTTTTAACAGCTCACAATGCCCATCTTTCCCCCCGTTCTAGAAAGTGCTCATGTGGACAGATATTTCATGAAGCCTGAGATTCAAAGAATAGGCCGGAACAAATCAGCCCGTGAGGCATATAAAGAAAAAGAACTGACCTGTCCACCTCGTTTTTGTGAGCGAGATAAGTTTCCAAGCGTGGTGTGCCTAGATATGTCCGTTGGCGCATCACCAAATAAGGAGTTGCTAGTTGCGCATACGTATAGCGCGTAAATCAGCCGGTCATCGCAGATTGGTTTGTTGCGTGAACGATAACTGACTGCGTCGAAATACTGCGCAGGTCGTCTGCCCAAGGAGCCAGGCCGCTGAAGGATCTCCCGTGCGACTGCTGTGATAGCGGCCAAGAATAGCCGCCATGCTCCACTCGTCGCTGCTATTCTGGCGGCGGCTACCGACCGGACCTCGATCGGATGCAGCCCCGCAGTACAAACCTCCGCCTGTGCCAAAAACCAACGGCGGGCACTTGCTCAACGCGGACTCCCATAGAGCCCTGTGATCCTCAACACATTCCCCGCCAAATCTATTTATGAGAGTGCTTATTTATGGCCTTTTCGGTGTGGTGTATGGCAGCAAAGCGGACCACTGATCTTGATGGTGGGCCTTTATACAATGCCGGAGGATGTGGCCTTGTTTTTATGTTTATCCATTGTCGATGTCTGATTATCAATGAATTGTGCCTTACATACTTGTCCTGTCAAGTTCGCGCAGCCTTCGAAAGAATGTTTTATAGGGCAACTGTTATAAACGTTTCATGATGCACTGCCCGACCCTTTTACTTTACAATAAATACCTTCATGGACGATGTCCTTGTCTCGTCTCAGCTCCGATAGTTTTGTGTGGATTGCGAAGTTTTGATTGCTCCCTCGTGAAGCATTGCTTTTGAACAGGTGAGTCGCAAAAAAAAAAAAAAACTGGCCGTACAGTGGGAATCAATGACATGGGAAGCGCGAATGAGGAAGGTTTACATGTTACTTTCAAAGCAGCACAACATTACGAGACGGACGAACGTAGTACACAGTGAACAAGAGGAGAAGTGTTATCTGCATTCACGTATCTAGGTAAGATGCAGATAGGTTGTTCATAGCCGCGTAACAACGACACATTTAACGTTTCTCATGCCAGTGCCAACAGTGGTAGGCATATGAACTATCCCATACATGACTTCCATGTCATGATTCTCATGTCTGCACCTGGCATGTGTGTTCGTCGTTCAGTCTCGTCAAGTAATACCAAAATTGCTATATGTGAAGCTAGAAAAACGGCCGCGAGCGCACTATGAGCTTAGCATGTAGTCATGCTTTACGTTACACGCATGTCATGATTATTAGGCCTCAAAGTGTCATGTTTGCCTTCGTCGTCTGTTCACGTCCCGTAAAACTAAATTTAGTATATGTAAAGCTAGCGAAAAGGCTGTGAGCTCATCATCAGAGTGGTATGTAGTCATGTTTAACCTTCGTCATCCATTCACACCTCGTAATACTAAATTGGATATAAGTGAAGCTAGCAAAACGGCCGCGAGCGCAATATAAGCATAGCATGTAGTCATGTTTAACGCAACACGCATATAATAATATTATGTTCAACGTATCATTTACCTTCGCCGTCCGCTCGCGTCACGTAATGACCAATTAGGCATATGCGAAACTAACAAAACAGCCGCGAGCGCATCATGAGCGTGGTATGTAGTCATGTTTTTACATGACACGCATGTCATGATTATGGTGTTTGCAGCAGTCATACCTTCGTCATCCATTCCGGTCACGTATTACGAAATTTGCTATATGTAAAGCTATTGAAACGGCTGCGTGCGTGCTAAATGAGTTCAACATGTAGTCATGTTTTGCATGAAACGCATTTCATTATTACCATGTTTGCACCAGTCATATACATTCGGCATGCATTCACGTCACGTAACACCAATTTTGGTATATGTGAAGCTAGCGAAACGGCTGCGAGCGTACTATATGAGCGTAACATGCAGTCACGTTTTCTGTGACACGCACACAGGGATTATTTGGACGTGTTATGCACCTTCGCCGCCCGTTCGCTTCACGCCATACCGAATTTGGTATACATGCGAAGCTGGTGAAACGACTGTGAGCGCATCATGACCGTGGCATGTAGTCATGTTCTTATATGACACGCATGTCACACATGCGTGTCTTGCGTAACACGCATGATTAGCATGTTTGCACCAGTGATATGCCTTCATTCATTCACGTCACGTTATACGAAATTCGGATATGTGATGCTGGCAAAACGACAGTGAACGCACCATAAGCGTGGCGCGTAGTCATGGCTTACTCGACATGCGTGCCACAATTTTCACGCTAGGACCTGTCACTTATTCTCGCCATGTCAAACCAAAGAGGTTTTGCAATATGTCATGTGAACGAAACCTCCGCAATAGCAGTAAGACCGTGACGTAGAAACTATGACAATTGTCACATATTCGGATTTTCATGTAGATATTGTTCACTTATGCTCGCCATACAGTCATGTTATGCCATAGCAGCTTTGGTATAGATAGTATTATCGAAACGGCAAGGCGAGCTTAACGTCGTAGGTGGCTATATAGACGGATAGCCAGGTGGATACAGCCGAAGTCGCCGAAGTTCACTAAGAAATGCTTCGCATTTAAAAATGTTGCGCTTTTCTTCCGCATAGGCGGAGAGGACCTACTTGACACCTTTGTCACAGGAGTCTGCATAACACGAAAGGGACACACTGTTCACGAATGTAGTCACATTTTCATTATACAGTCGTGATCATAAGCTTGGAGAGTGCGTGGATCGGTGCGCCGTCTGGCGGCTAGATGGGTCTCGCATGCGCGGCTATTTCAGTCTCGCTGTCCCGCCGGTACACGGAATGGTTCAATCGCTCCCTCCAGTAGTGCTCGCGGCACAGAAGCCACAACGTTCGAGTCGTTTTGCGATAAATGCTTCTGTCTGCTAGCAACCATAGTTGGGGCTTCTCACGAGCATTCGACATTTCGCTGTTCTCATTAGTAATAGCTAAGCGGACTCAGCCCAAGGCTAAAGGAAGAGTAATAGCTGTCCGATGCTCTGCCTCGTTCAGTGTAGTATATATTTATTACTTTTAGGCTGTCATGGGCATGTTAACAGTAAAAAGTCGCAGTGTTATAGTTACAGTTACCTCAGACAAAAAGCAACTTTGTGACAGCTACCGAGTTTCCGAAAATAATTTAGTACACTTACAGTTACCGTGAAATAGTAATGTTCTTACTTTTCCGTGACCATACAAAGTAAGTAAGGGATTACATGCCAAATGGTAGAGTTCTTTAAAAAATGAATAGATCCCACGTACAGTGAGTATTGGTTATATGCGAAGCGTGAATGAGGAAGGATGGCATATCACTCAAAAATCGGCATAACGTTACGAGTCGGACGGACGTAGTAAACAAGTAGAAATGTTATGCGCCTTCACTTATCTAGATAAATTGCAAGTACTTTATTATTAGTCGCGTAACGACGGCACCACTAAAGTTTGCAATACAAACAACAGCAGTGGTAGGCATGTAAATCTTTCCGTACATAACTTCCATGTAATGATTATCATGATTGCGCCTAGAATTTGTGCTCGTCGTTCGTTCACGTCACGTAATAACCAATTTGGTATATGTTAACCTAGTGAAACTGCCGCCAATGCATTACGAGTGTGGCCGGTAGTCATGTTCTCACATGACACGCATGTCTTGATTATCATGTTGGCACCAGACATGTTGGCATCTTCGTCATTCATTCACGTCACATAATACAAAACTTGGTATATGTGACGGTAGCAAAACAACCGCGAGCGTGCCATCAGCGTGCCATGTAGTCAGAACTTACATGACGTACATGCCTTCATGATTTTCATGTTAGAGTTTGCCACTTATGTTCGTCATGTTGTCATTTCATGCCATACCAGTTTTGCAATATGTCATGTGAACGAAACCACTGCAAGAGCAGCAAGACCGTGACATATATATAATGAAAAAAATGACATACGCGTCATGATTTTTATGTCATGACTAGTCACTTATTCTCCTCATACAGTCATGATATGCCATACATATTTTAATATAGATCCCATTTTTAAATCAGCCGAGATAGCTTAAAGCCGTACGCGCCTAGATAGATAGATAGATAGATAGATAGATAGATAGATAGATAGATAGATAGATAGATAGATAGATAGATAGATAGATAGATAGATAGATAGATAGATAGATAGATAGATAGATAGATAGATAGATAGATAGATGAGTGCAGAATTATCTGCAAGGGGCATTGCGAAGATCGGCGAAACGGGCAGCAAATGAGTAAGAAAGGACCACGAAAGGAAAGATTGCTAATGTCCAACGCAAGCTACGCGGTCTAAAACGGCCCGATGTTGTTTTTTGGTAGGAAGGGGAGGGGGATCAAGAATACTTAATGTATGTCCGTGCGTGCATTTTATGGATTGATATGCGGGGTTTAACGTCCCCAAACCATTATATGATTATGAGAAACGCTTTCAACTACCTGGGGTTCTTTAACGTGCTCCCAAATCTGAGAACACGGGCCTACAACGTTTTCGCCTCCATCGGAAATAGAGCCGCCGCAGCTGGAATTCCAACCCGCGACCTGCGGGTCAGCAGTCGAGTACCTTAGCCACTTGACCACCGCGGCGGGGCTCCGTGCGTGCATTTGTATATGGGCGTGTATAGCGAGAGTTCGAAGTGAAGCTTTACCAATTTTGTAAAATTAGGTACTCGATGGCACGTGAGAACCACTTGTGCAAATAACTTAAGTGGCCAGGGGATAGAAAGTTAGATAATAAATGTCGCTGTCAGCAGCCCACTAAACTAAAACTTATTAACTAACTTTTTACTAGCTGTGGTCAGTTGGCATGTTTATATTGAAAAAAAAAAAGTAGGCAGTGGTGTTTGTACACAGTTTCAGTTCGAAGATTTTTTTATGGCACGCCTGTGATTCGAGATATCCGGGTCTAAAATTTAATTGTGTTTCACATGATTACGCATGGAAGATGGTGAGACTCAGCGCAAAGCTCCTCGTTGAAGTGACGCATTACCCCGCCGCGGGCGTCTAGTGGCTAAGGTACTCGGCTGCTGACCCGCAGCCGGGATTTACGATGGAGGCGGAAATGCATTTACGATGGAGGCGGAAATGCTGTAGGCTCGTACGCTCAGATTTGGGTGCGTGTTAAAGAACCCCCAGGTAGTCAAAATTTCCGGAGTCCTCCACTACAGCGTCTCTCATAATCATGTGGTGGTTTTGGGACGTTCAACCCCACTTATCAATCACTGAAAGTGACGCTTCTGTTGTGTGCGGTGTTTAGTGTGTGAAAAGGGTGGAAGCGTAGGCATAGGTGATAACAGTTAGCTTTGCCCTCTCTGCCGTCGAAATAAAAAAATCGAATAAGCCTTGCAGCCAGTGTCGTAACAGGCAACTGGAGAGCCTCTAACGATAGTGGCAGATAACATGCCGAGATAGTGGTGAGAGTGGAATATCTCCATGTCAGTGCGCGTGCGTAATAATGACAAGAGAAGCATGCGTGGTCGTTACCTGGGCAGCGCAAATAGCGTGACTGCTGATGTCCAAGTAGTGTAACTTTATTGAAATCAAAAGAAACAATTCCACCAATAATAACACACAGTTTCATCCTTGCAATGCATATTTTCTGCTACATAACCTCATTTCAGTCATGAACAAATCTAATTGATACCATTCACCTCTCCAGACATGAATGCCCCAAAAAGTGTTCCGAATGACAGCCTTCGGCAGCAACGCAAAGCATGAAC